GCCACGATGTTGTTCCGCTTGAAAAGGCAGCGGACGATGAAAAAGCAAACATCACTGCCAGAGCAAAGCTGGTCGAAGAGATGAAGGAGGTCTGCCGAGGTGTTATTCGTGAATTTGAAAACACGGAAAATGAGTTGGAAACGAACATTACCACAGCTAAACGCCAAGTTTCCCAAGCAACCGAACAGATGATGGGAAAGCTTCGCCAACTGGAACGTGAAGCCATTACTGCCCTAGAGAAGACTCGCGTGTCAAGGATTGAGAAATTACATTCTGGAAAAGCATCGGTTTTCTCTTTCGAAAAGCAACTTGACCAAGCATTTGAGTTCAGTAACAACCTGGTTGAGAGAAGCTCAAGTTCAGACATAATGCTAAACAAGAAAAATGTAGAAGAACGAATCAAAGACCTCATCGACACCACAATGCCTGCACTTCCGGTTAGCTCGTGTGTGGAGTTTGTGTCGAAATGTGAACCAGAGAGTTTGAGTCTGGGATTTACGAAGTTCAGCAAGACAGATGTGCAAGGATCGACCGTGGAAGGACTGGATCAGAATTTCCAAGCTGGTGTAGAGGCAGAGCTACTAATTTGTCTCAAATCAAGCGAAGGAGAAATCAGAAACACTCAGCACACAGATCGTGTTGAAATACACATAGACCCCGCGGATCAGGTGAGGAGCTTGGTGACGAGTGAAAAAGAAGATGGAAATTTCCAAGCAAAATTTGTAGCGAAAGTACCAGGTACTTATAAAATAGAATTAAAGATAAATGGACAGAAACTTGCCAAGAGTCCATTTTCTATTCTGGTCAATGCACGAGAGTTAAATGTTGTAGGCAAGTTGGACTTACATGGAGAAATGCTCCGAGGTCCAGCCGGCATTGCTGTGAACAGTAAAGGTGTTATTGCTGTGGCTGATCGTGACGGTCATTGTATCCTGGTATTTGATGAGACAGGAAAGTTTGTGCGAAAAATTGGTTCTTATGGAGATGAGAATGGACAATTAGAGGATCCAGTCGACGTCACGTTCGTAAACGATGACGAGATTCTGGTGGTGGAACAATGTAATCACCGAATGCAGCAGTTTAATGTACAGACAGGGAACTTTGTGAAAAGCTTTGGAAAAAAGGGAAGTAGAGATGGAGAGTTAAAGTATCATTTAAGTGTTTGTATTACAAGTGATGGACGTTTTATCGTTGTAGCGGATTTTTATAATTTCAGAATTCAGGTGTTTACAATGGATGGTGAACCTGTGTTTAAGTTTGGAGACAGCGGTCCAGAAAGGCTGGATCATCCTCTCAGCTGCGTTTGTTACGAGGAAAAGTTCTTTGTAACTGACCTTAATAATAACTGTGTGAAAGTGTTTGATCAGAGAGGACAGTTTTTGTACAAGTTTGGAGAAAAAGGAAACGGTGATGGACAGATGGATCGGCAGTATGGCTTATGTGTTGACAAACATAATAACGTTTTCTTATGTGATGGGGGAAATAA